GGGGCTGGGCGCGTGCGCGCGCAGCTTCGTGCGCGGGCACTTGTGCGCGTGCACTCATGTGCGCGTGCACTTATGTGCGTGCATTTCTATTTGTGTGTGCGCGCGTGCCTGTGCATGTGTGAGCCCATTCGTGTAGCCGTAAATGTGCATCTATATGTGCGTGTTTGCTGCATGCCGGCGCGTGCGGATTTGTTCTTGTGTGCCACGTGTTTATACATGGTATGTGAGCACGTGGGGGGTGTGTGTGTGCACTGGGGTGCCTGTGTCTGCTGTTTGCTCCTGTGCATGTGCCTATGTTTGTGTGTGTGTGCCCGCAGATGGGTGTGATTGCTTGTGCGTGTGTGTGATTTGCTTGTATGTGTGTATGGGAGTGCACCTGTGTGTTTACCTATGCATAAGTGTGTGTTTGTGCATGTTCAGGTATGTGTGTTGTGTCCGTGCACTTGTGTAGATGCCTTCATGAATGCATCTGCCCTTGTGCGTGCATGTGTGTGTTTATGTGATTGTGTGGGTACATATGTGCATGTGTGTGTACGCGTGGGCATGTGTGTGCCTGTATTTGTATATGTGATTTTGTGTGCATATGCGTGCATAAGTGTGCATGTGTGTGTCCTTGGCTGCATGTGCAAACGCTTTGAGTGCATCTTTGTGTGAGTGCATGCACATATTTTAGCACAAGTGCTTAGGTGCATGTGTGTACGTCTGTGTATGCATATTTGTATGTGCCTCTACGCATGTGCCTCTATGCATGTTGTGCTTTTTTATGTCTGTGGGTATAGGTGTGTGTGTGTTCATTTGTGCATGTATGTGGTATGGCTGTGTGTGTGCAAGTGCACCGATATACACTAAAGTGGAGAGCGTGCGCACACACGTGTGTCAACTGGGAGGTTTGGCAGACAGCCACGAGTGACTGCCTGCAAGCGCTTATGTTTTGTGTACATTTCTGCACCAGGAGTTTACGTTTCTCCTTGTGGGTGCAGATTTCACATGTGCTTGGTGTGTGCATGTGGAAAGGCATAAACTGCGCTCTACAAGCCAGTGGATGTGATTTGAGGCTTTCTGTATAGAGAAACAGATTTGTATGAGCCTCTATTTATGTATGGCTGTATACATGTATGCTATAGTGTCACAACGTCATAGCGAATAGCACTGAATACCTGTGGCAGAGTGATGCTTCACCCACCCAAACGTATGTGATCCTGCTTCGTGTGCGTGGACTAGCAGTGGTGGGGAGGCTCTGGCACACGTGCGGCTGGCAGCGGGACTGTAATTGCGAGTGCTGAATGGCAAGATGCGGCCTCATCAGGAGTGCACAGGTTTGTTTACTAGAGGGAGGCAAAGTGACTAATGTAATCAAAGGTTCCTGGGCTCCCGAACTTCCTGTGCAGCGCGTCAGGGATGGGATTACACAGGTGATAGCAGCCTGGTGACAGGTCGTTCAGCGTCATGACAAAAATTCTGTCATTCCCTTTGGTAGGTAGTGTGGGATGGGTGAAATCCGTCTTTCTCCTCCTATTCTTCAGGAGAATTCTAATACAATCACTCCTTACTATATACACATATATAAGCTTCTGCGTGTAGGAGTGTGTGTAACTGGAATCCATTTTTCAAGAGTGTTTCAAAGCTGCCGGAAGAATCGTACTGTCAGAAAAGCACAACTGAGCTCAGTTACAATATTTGCCTTTTCTTCAGTGTGCTCAGAATAAAATTCTGCCCATATATTCCTGAAAACATTTTCAGCTCTAATACTCAATCTCCTTGGGGTAAATAATTTATCAGTTACCAGGAATAAGAAATAGATATTGAAGACCTAAACTTAAATTATTTTTGTTATTATTGTTATTATTTAGTGCATTCACAGCATTGTTCAGCATTGCATTACCTTACTCATTTAGGAATCTACTTCTTATTTCATGCTGCTAGAGGTCAGATCTGTTTGACTTCCAGTAAGATTCAAGCTCTGAGGTATCAGCATTACTTCTGAAAATGAAATTTTGGCTCATCAGGTAGATGTTGCAATGTAAACAACACAAAACCCAAAATTGAAAATAGGATGCCCAAGTGATTTTTGTGGCCAAACTCCTATTAAAGTCAAAATATCCCTGTGTTCCTAAGTAATTTAGATGCATTTGAAAAATAAGCCTTCAGCTCCTAAGGCAAATATTAGGCACATCTGATATTACTGTTAATGACTGCATTTCCTTAAAAGGGGGAGAGAAGTCAAACATTGTGATGTTACATTTTTATTTCAGCTATTTTATTTTTAATTATTTGGATCCCATAAGATTTTGAGTTTCAAGATGTGCATTATACTGGATGCTTTATCTTCACATAGTATCTTCCTTCCCTCCCTTTCCTCCCTCTTTCCTTCCCTCATTATTTCTTTCCCTCATTCCCTGCCTCTTTCCTTCCTCCCTTCTTCTCTCCCTTTCTTTCTTCTCTCCTTCTTCTCTCCTTCACCCTCTCTTTCTTTTTCTCTCTCCCCCCCCCCCCCCCCCCCCCCCCCACCTCGCCTCTAGCTTATTGATCATTTGGGTACCAGTCAAGGATGAAAGTGACTTGGCAAGGACCATTAAGTCAATCACTATGATTAAATACTCTGAAGAATTTTAAATGGTGCTGAAATCAGAAATGGGCAGATAGTTAAATTTCTGACCTGTCAGGCACACAAATATTGGTATGGCTAGGGGGAAGTGCGACCAGAGCCCTGCCAGAGATGGTGCTTCTTGGTGCTATTGTGGTTGGATACTTCAGAAGGTAAATCATGTTAGTTATAATATTTTTGAGGGAGCACTCTTGTCTCATAATCTTTAAGGAATAAGTACACAAAAATAGGTCCATGAAGTAATGTGCTACTGCTGATATTCCCATTTTCCCCCCCTGTGAACAACTCCCTGTTCACTTCACCAAAGCAGATCAAATTTATGTTTTGATAATTACATTACAAATTCCTCCTACATTTTCACCTGTATTTGTTATTCTTCACCCCCTTGTCACGTATATTTTGTGTAAGGTAGCTGTGTTTTGTTAAATAACTCCTACTTTTCACCCCCAGGTAACGTCACTTTAGTTATAGGTAGATTGATTGCTCTGCCTGTTAAAGTACATTACAGTCTTCTGTGACGAAGAACAAACTGCAGAATAGAATACACAAATGCTTGCATGTACACATGGCTCCATGTATGCAGGCACATAAGCAGTGGTGTTTTAGAAGGTTTATTTGACTTAGGGTACAAATCTTGTTCACATAACTTCATCAAGCATCCTGATCTAATACAAAATGTAGAATTTCTTAATTTCCTGCTCTTTTGTCCAATTGCAAACCTGAGTATGATTCAATTAGATGTAACCATGATCCTGAACTTCCTGACAGTCTGTATGCAAACCTTGAATGTCTTCTCTTACCTTGAAAGCAGTAGGGCAATATTAGAAGAATATTCCCAAACTTTTCTGTGTTTTCACTTGTCCTTTCCGACATACTTAAGAGGAGCTCACAAAGTGGAGGAGGCCAGGGTGCCTTTTCCAGGTTGGTGACACTTAACACTTAGCTTCTGTTTCATCAAAGTAGGATGGTTTTACTGATGTGAAACAGGTGCTGAAGCTTGTCTGAGGAGGAAAGAGCTGAGCATTATTTCAAGGATGTTTGGGTACTGTCGTTCCAAGGATGTTTGGGTACTGTGGCAGGCTGACAATATAGTCACGTATCCGCTGTATCAGAAACAGTCATACTATAAAAATCAGATGTAATAAAAGCCCAATAAATATGCAGTAAAACAAATATACTCATGAAAAAAGCTGGTGGGAAAAAGATGGTGGTAACACCTGCCTGCTCTTGATAATGTTTTAAACTTAAGTTTTTATTAATCAGGTTCTAAGCTGTTTCTAGAACAAAATATTATGATTCACAAAAACTGGATAGCAACAATATTCAAGACTGTCCCCTTCCTCTTTGGAAAAAAAATAGGTAAGCTTCTCTCTTAGATAAACTGTTCTCAGGCAGCCTCAGATCATATGTTTCATTATCACAATTAGCTGTGATTGTGTTATCTCTGTATTAAATGTGTCTTACATTCTGCTTGAGGCCACATCTGAAATCTGTTTGGCGACATGAGAGATAATGCAATTTTATTTTATGCAACATTTCCCAATTTAGACATTGTACTATAAAACACTTAGTTTTCAAGGGGAATGTAAGAAATTAGTTTTGGTCGACTGCTATCAGGTTTTGCATATCTTAGTGCTGAAATTTCTGTTTATTGTGTCAGTTGTGATCAGTCAAGATGATCTTGTTTTCTAGTTGTGCTTGTCTGGGATGTAGACAGGACATATTTTCTGCAACAGCACTTACCACTGTAATGATTTCCCATCTCTGTTCCACCAAGTTTGAGTTTGTTGGTCTTGAAGTC